GAGCCCAGCAGAGGATCTGAACAACTCTTCAATTTCTAGAACTTCTGTTCCCCAGCAGCTGTGGCAGCTGAGCAGACTATCTGCTGAAGGCAACCTAAACCCAGCACAAGTTATTATGATGCTCTTTGCTCCAGAGAGATTAGCATTACATTTTAGGAATAACTGTCAACTGGTTAAGGATTATCAGGATAATACATTCAGTATGCAGCAGAGGATCTGAACAACTCTTCAATTTCTAGAACTTCTGTTCCCCAGCAGCTGTGGCAGCTGAGCAGACTATCTGCTGAAGGCAACCTAAACCCAGCACAAGTTATTATGATGCTCTTTGCTCCAGAGAGATTAGCATTACATTTTAGGAATAACTGTCAACTGGTTAAGGATTATCAGGATAATACATTCAGTATGCTCACCTGCCACTTCGACTGACACCTACCTCCTTGGTGGGAACTAAGTATAATTAGCATAGTGTATAAGTCTACTTCTCTTTTCATAGGCATAACTATAATTGCTGTAAAAAAAAAGAATACCCTAAACAACAACTCTATCAAGAATTCCTACAAGTTTTACTTCTGTAACATACTTCTCTGAAATACAATCCTATCATGTTGACACTGTTGAACTCTAGTTGCAAATCTTAATTTGGCTTGTACTGGAAGATGGCAAGGAAATAATTTGCATGGAACACCTGCAAACTCTTAACTCAGTGTATTCACTACAGATTTCTTTTCTGAGGGTACATGCTCCTACCCATACAAATGGGGTTGTTTTGATGCCAAACTTTCTCTTGCTGTGGAACACGGGGGACCTCTAGTGCCTCCAAAAAGTCAGTTCCAAGCAAAGCTAAGTATTATAGAATAAGAACAAAACCCAGTTATAAAAACTGAATACTTAATAAAGTTGTGCAATTTGTATCCACTAAAAAGTTGACTCCTCCAAAGGTGAAGATTTTAAAGCAATTCTCCTGTCTCTATAAAGCATCACTGTTTGAATTACAATTTTAGACTCACACAGAAGAGAAAAAAGATCTATGAAAGCAAGACAAAGATCAAAACCAGAAACAAAGTAGGAATCCTTCACTGATACTCCAGAAATGCAGTATGAACTTTCACAGATGCTAAATTAACAATGCATTTTGCACTACATACTTGCTAACTCACCAAAAGACAAAGTGCAAGTAGTACCTGCACAAAAATGAAACCATGGTGCAAATCTCAAAAAATTCTACAATATATAAAACCAACACTAACAGCAAGCAGACATTAAAAGACATCTGAAATAATAAAAATGATTTTCTATTGATTTATTGTTTTTTTCAGTGTGGTGTCATTTCATTATGTTTCTTACTCCTGCTGCTATTTAGGTGTCAGCACAATAGGCAACTACTTCTCTTGATTTCACCCAACCTATACATCTTCAGCCCATCTCTTCAGTATTGCCTTGAGTTGTTTTATTTTTTTTGATCTTTTTGCTTGTTTAGCTAAGCTCAAGGGAAACATAATAGGACAGGAAGGAAAACAACAATCATTTTCCACAGGCACAATTACAAGTAAACATTACAAGGAAAAAAGGAGCTTCCTCTACATGCAAATCCCTTCCTCATCCTGTTCCAAAGTAAGCAATGAGCCTACAACAACACAGACAGAACACAGACAGAATACATGGATACAATTCAAACAGATTTGCATAAGAAGTGAAACTGCATTCATACATCTTATGAACCTTTATAGTTCCAACACCTTTAACACAGAATGTATACTGAACACAAATTATGTGATAAACCAAGAAAACTAACTGGCCAATGTTCTAGTGATGTTGCTCAGAAGATACTGAGTTTCAGTCTAGAGTATTTAAACAAGTCATAATTATGCAAGTAGATTGAAGGTCAAATGCAAAATTTCATTTTATCAGTCAAGACAGAGCAGTTTACATTTTAATAAATCACATGGTGGCAGGGCTCTCAGAAACACATTTAGAAGTTTGAGTACTTTCCTATATTGCCTTTTCACAGAAGTTTTTAAAGTTCTGAAATCAAAGATTTTTTTCAGCCTTTGAGCAAAAGTGAAAAATATTAGTCACAAAGGAGACAACAGGAAAAAGAATCTGAAAATGCTTTACAATAAACCCGGAAGTGTAATCTTAATCACATACACTGCTTTTTCTCTAGTATGTTCACATACTACAAAGAGAAAAGCTGCACAGCCTGCATAATTGGCCCATAAAAATATAAAAGATGCAAACATTTTTATCTGTGAGAGAAGTTAAAGTATTTTCACAAAAAGACACCAAGTACAAAACATGCAATTTACCTTGTAAATTCCAGGACGTTCAGCAGTTCATATCTCTCTTCCTGTCCCAACTGACAAACGAAAAAAAACACCCCATAAAACAACATGCAAAAAAAGTAAAGCAAAATAACCAACCAAATGTCTCAATAGATATGTACCATGACGCAGTTACTCACAAATTATTTAAAATACAGCAGAAGTAAATTCATCAGGTTATAATGATACTCCAATGTACTTACAGACTCTATGATTACTGAGTCAGGTGTCCTTCCAGTGAATACAAAATGAAGATTCTTGGCTGCTCTGACCAATGCTCCTTCATCTGCAACAAGTCAAATAGTTATTTTACAAATGTACTGGAAAATCATTAGTTTAGCCCATGACTTAATGGACACAGTCCAAGATTTCTATTTTTGGTTTCCTTTATGTATTCTAAGATTAGAGCTGGTGCTGGGAAGAACTCTGTTTCTCCTCTTAAAACTGAGTTCACAGTTCAGAGAAAATAAGCTATCAATGGAGAATGTCTCTCAGCTCAGTAATGAGAGAATCTTCCAAGCATCTAGGCTAGCAGCTTCCTCAGCAGGGCACTGGACAAGGTCCATTTCTTTTTAAGTTTTGTTTTAGAAGAGTGGTAAGTCACTCCTGTAAATAATACATAACTTCAATGTCTACAGTCAGGAAACATTTCAACCAGCAACCCCTTTTCCAATAATCATCAGTTCTCTTCAAGTGGCTCAGGATGTCAGAATGGAATTTGCTTGCAATGCCCAACAAAACACTGCCATGACCCAGCTAACTTCACTTATGCCCCTACCTCTGTCCTTGTCTTGCAGCTGTTGAAGGACAGAATTTAGAGAGACAGCCACCCAGGAGCTTGGGCAGATAAGGAAGACTCTCTGTGCTTTCTGTACTTTCTCCCATCATAACTTAAAATATATTAGCTCAGAAGAGCTGAGCATATTTTAATCATTAAGCCTTGCTCCATCATTTCCTGAATTCAAAAACTGTCTGTGAACAGTAGGCTTGAACCAGACCATTTGCACTATAATCTCTTCTCACTCTCTAATAGAACTTATCACAACTTTTATCCTATTAAAATATTTCGGTTTCGACTACACAGTCTCTGTTCTAAATCAGTATCATGGTTACCAAGTACAGAACAGGCTCCTAAGCAAGGACATCTATTTGTCTCCTGATTTGATCTTTATTTACATTTGAGCAGTTCCTTCAGACCTCCACAGCAATCTGACAAGACGTTAGTAGTGCTGTAAGGTTAATCATCCTTTGCCGTTACATAAGCCACAGAACATTCATATGCATTTTCTAAATAAAATTTCAAAAGTCTAAATCCTTTTTTGACAAAACAGATTTTAGCTGACACCAATTCTTTTTTGAAGAATAGGTCATCTTTAATTTTGGAAGATACTTCAAAAACCAATAAACTGAATAGAATTTGCTTGTTGAGTTGATAGAATACTGTATGTTCACTCAGTTATCTGAATCTCACCTGGAGATGCTGCTTGATATATAATTTTATCACCTTCTCTTTCTGGAACTGCTGTATGACACACTGCCATCATTGTCAAAAACTCACATATTATAGGTGCAGTTGGCTAACAAAAAAACATGTCAAAAATGTGATTAATCAATTAAGCAACAAACAACTGAAATGTAAGAATAGATATGGACACATAACAGACAACAAAAATTTAATGCAAGATTCTTCCTCTCTTCTTTAAAAACTATCAGCAACCAAACAAAACAGACTTGACCTGTACACTAATTTCAGCATGCAGAGTTGTGCTTTATAGACAATACTTAGATATTGTCTATAAAAATAGCATTTAGTGGTATTTGCTATTCTAACAATCAAAAGCAGATGACAAGAAACAGAATAATTCAGGTATGTACTTTATAGGGAAGACAAGTCTGAATGATGTATTGAAAGAATTTTAGTTTACTCACTGAAGTGTCTATGAATGTTGCCTTTTTAAATAAAAATATTTCCTTTGGTGTAATACTAGATTTGACAACACTTTTTAAGAACCCTTAGAAAGATGTTACTATGTTATTAGCACTGACAATGAAAATAAAAAAAAATAATCAAAAAAGCATAAAAAAAACCAAAAAAGGGGAAAAAAGCTGGATCTAATTTACATATATAAGCAATCAACAGCTATAAACATATTCGTGAGGTGATGCTGATTTCATGTTAAGTATGTGATTTATTTATTTTCCTTTAAAGGACATAATCCTTTGACTCACTGAAAGCAGTGGTTTGATTTCACAAAACAATGGCAATGATTTCTATATAACTTACATGATTGCTTTGAAGATTCTCTAGTAATGTTGTGTCACTAAATGTTTTTTCCTCTCCATTTTGTGGGCCCTGCCTAGAAATAATTAAGTTAATTACAGAATGGAATAAAAAAATATATGCACAAAGAGATCACATTTCATCAAGAAATTAGGAGCTTTGGAATAGGTTTGTAAATGTTTGCAGAAAAGGAAGTCTGGAATCTGAGAAGAGGCAAGCAAATGAGTTCAGACAGCAGAAGTCTGCATGGACAGGGTTTCTTTTCTATTTCTTATTAAACTGATAAATAAAGAAGACACAGCCACAATGGTGCAGTAGGGACTGAAGAGATGCAAGGAGGAGATGGTTCTGGAGAAATAAAATAATACACTAACACCTCAAACTGCACAAATATTCTGGCTGAAAAACATAGATACCTCTAGGAAGATTTGCTACTGCAGCTGACTGAGTATTCAGACAATCTACTTGAGTTTGAATTTGAGTGAAACAAAACAGTGCTGGAAAAATGAACCCAGTTGAAGGAAAGCATTATTTTTCCTAATTTACTTTAGCAGAGAGTGAACACATTTGAAGATTTAAGTTGAATGATGAGCAATATATATATATTAAAGGCAGTCTAAAGATCCTCTATGAAAACCAAAACTGAGCTGCTTTAATCCTGCATTAACTACCATGGAGGAATATAAAATGCAGTGCCTCCTCTACACAGCCATCTAAGGACAACTTTTCTAAAAGCCTATAATTAAAGTGAGAAATTTGAATCATCCTCATTCACCAAGACTTTTTTTTTTTAATGCAAAACAAATAGACCTTGAAATGACAAATGCTAACACCTTCAGAAATGTTAGATTTGTTTAGAGTCTTGAGTTTTAAGCTTTGTTTGCCTAAACCTTTCTGACAGAAATTTTCCAGATTCTCAGTGCTAAAATAAGCAAAATATTTGCAGGTATATGTTGTGTCAAATCAGAAAACAGGTATTTCTAATATGAAGAAAAGATTTACTAGATTTGATATGTAGTACATTAGTCATTTCAGAACTAGAAATATTACTGTCACAAATAGATTTTATTAATTACAAGAGATTTTATTAACTACAAGAGATTTTATTAATTACAAGAGATTTACACACAAGGAAATTTAAGTATCTTATTTCCTAAGTATGTTGGTCCCAAGCCTATTTGGGTGCTTTAATCTCAGTTTCAGTTAAGAACTAGGTAGTGCCAATATTCTAAAACTATATGTAGGAAATAAAACATTAGCAATAACATTCCATATTTTCCACTCTCAAATGTAGGTATTTTTTCCAAACATATTAGTGATTATTACTAACCTACTACTAGCAGTAGAAAAGTGTGATCAAAGTTACCATAACATCAAAAACCTTACTAAATGACAAAACTTTCTCTGCAATTCTGAATTGTACAGGACAGACAGTAGAATAACTGTACCATACTACACTACACTATACATTAGTGACCCTGTTAGCAATTCCATTCCAGAGTACACAACTAATGCCACTGAATTCTCATGCCATAAATTTCTGGAAGACTATTAAGTCTGCACGAATTCAAAGCTAAAATAACTTTTGAATAGTAAAATATCACACATTTAGCTCTGTTTCTAAAAATACTGCTCACTGGGTTTAAACTTGAATCTTCAAGCACACACCACAAACTAAATGATTTTTAGAGCTTACCAATCATCTGAAGGAACACTATAATCCTCAGGCTCAGGGCAATGGCTTCACAAGAAGCAAGAGAAAAATAGAAACAGGGAGAGGAAAAAGAATCACTAATGCTAAAAAAATCCAT